ATGAAAAATAAACAAACAAATAAATTCACAATCCACAATCCAAGTTTATTTTACAGGCTGTGTGAAAGGGGTTTTAAGGCAGATAACTGTAAACGTGATACTACGTTTAAAACACAATTGCCCCCCCATCCATTCTTTTGTTGTGGTTTTAAAACAAAAAAAAAAATCGATACATTTTTAAAAAAGCTGCAAAAAGGCTAGCTTGTACAGACAGCATGAAAGGGGAAGGTTAAATAGCGAGTCTGCCGTTCCAGCTGCACAACCTCCAAAGGCAGAAAATCAGTTCCCCCTTTCCGTGTTGGTACATTTATACAAATCAGTGATACCACAAATAATTAAAAAGTAATACATAAATTAAATATTTAAAAATATATATACATTTTACAGGCGGCGTGAAATGGGTAAAAGGTTGGGTTTTTCAATATGGCTCTGATACTACCTTCCAAGGACAGCCAGCGTAAAAAGGCCGAAGGAGCAGGTAAATGTTAGCTCTATTCAAACAGCTCAGATACTACCTCCACAGATTAAAAAATTGACACATCGACTTCATTCCCCCATTCCGTGATGGTACATATTCCAAAACAGCAGTATGAAAAATCTAAAGTGACAAGGGGTTAAAGGTGGGTAAGAGCTGGGCTTTCTGATATAAGTCCGATATTACTTCCAAAGGCGGAAAACAACGGGTTGACTCCATTTCCCAATTCCGCGTTGGTGCATTTACACAAAACAGTGATACCAGGAAAAAAAAGTGTCTGTTACAAATCTGATACGACCTCCGAAGGCAGAAAATAAATGTCGATGCACAACCGCTATAAATGGCAGCTTTTACAGGCAGTGTGAAAGGGGCTAAGCATGCTAAATGTTGCATCTTCGGTGATGACTTTGTTAACTACCTCGGGAAATGTACTATTTAATCAGAACAATGTGACACGCGGTGTTTTTCACAAGCAGAGGCTGAAGAGCCACTTCCTGCCCTAAATGATGACATCACTTGACCTTTCTCGCACACGCAACAGTCAGTTCCAGTCGACTGGGCGGGCAGTTTGTGCAGCTTAGATGAATGCCTAACATCCGCAGGTGACGTGGCAGCAGGGTCAGAACCTTTTTGGGCGGGGTGAGCAGATCAATGCGACCAAACGCTGCTATCGATCCAGCTGGATTTATTCCGCCCCCGCGATCGCACCTCCCACCTCCCAAGCTCTCAAAGTCAACACAAAGCCGTCGCAGCCGACGGGAGGAACTGTAACCCGCTTGACCCGAGAGCAGCGGAATAAATCTCACGCTCTCTCCTCGGCAGCTCGTTTAATGAAGGACATAATGGCTGAAACGCTGTTAGCATGGTGGCCGCCAGGACGGTAAATCTCCCGTTCTCCTTGGGGGTGCAGTGTGTGTGTGTGGGGGTGTGCACGACACTTTGCAGCTGAACGACAGGCAGTAAATCTGATACCGGTGTCATCGTCAATAGAGTCGCACTATCACCAATTCACTGGACCAATTTACACAGTCGCATTTGAAGTGATTTAAAGACGTACTACTGCTGGAGATGGAAAAGAGCCGTCAATTGGTTGTGTGACAGGGGCTAAATGCGGGTAAATACCGCGTTATCTGTGATGGCTCGGGAACTACCTCCAAAGTCTGAACATACACACTTAGGGCCCTATACAGTATTCCTGACAAGTGCAGTATCAGAATACGCCTGGGTGGAATTTTCTTCCTTTTGGAATTTTCCTAGACAAGTGCTGTTTGTTACACAGGGGAGTTTGCGCCATTGTGGGAGTGAACACAGCAGATTTGATTCCTGGCTAATCAAAGCAACTCCTCTCATTCCCTTTATATTCAATGTTTGTTTGTTTTTTTTGTTATGTTCTATGATTATATTTCTACAAGGATTCAGAGGGTTTGATGCACGCTGTTGTAATTTTTAATGAATGAAATACGATGACATCCACCACACCTATCAGTGGAGAGCAGAATTTGTCTGCGTGAGCCTCGATCAAATCCATCAGTTACACCACGTCCGCCACAACTTAGACCTGCGTTTCCTTGGTCTAAAGTCTCATCTACTTTCTGTCACCAAATTGTCATGTGCGCCGAGGCGTATAATAGAAAATGCCTTCAATATGCTGGAAAGCACAGAAAGCCACAGTGTGGGCTGACAAATTCCCAGACATGGTGAACCACACTCGCACCGGCAGAAAAATGAAGACGTGCGCCCATCGATGAAAATAAAGCCCACATATAGACGCTGGGAAAACAACGAGCAGTGTGAAAGGGGCTCCTCTCCTCCACCCTCATTTTGTGTCTGTGTGACATATACAAGACAATGACACGGGGAAAACAGTAAATGGCTGTTCCAAGCAAGCAGAAATATGTGACCAATCATTCATTGATTTTCATTTCATGAATTTTCTGGATCCTGCCTACAAGGTCTTGTCTTACGGGAGGCTATGACGTCTGCCGTAAAGCGACATGAGTGAAACAGCAAAAAGCCTTGCCCACTGCGACACTGTGCTGAAAACATTTTGCGATGTCACCCCTTAATAGTATTTGACATGAATTTAGTCACATTCAAATCATTTGTTAACAGGACGATGACACAACAAAAAAAATACACTGCTCAGTATGCCGCTACGCCTGATGCATGCAACTTAAACACAGACAACTTTTCTGTATGCGTGTGTGTGTCAGGTCTCCTGTGTGGAGCAGTTGGCCGGTCACTATGCCTCCACGTCTGTGTCCTCGCACAATGGGTGATCGATGCAAACCATGCGGAGGTGCCTTTCACACGCACACCACCTCTGAAGGGTACAGTAACATCCGCATTCAAGCACCATAAATTAGGAACAAAAATTCCTGTTTTTTTTTTTGTTTGTTTGTTTTTGTAAGAAAAATGGCACGTTGCGGTATTTTATTTGTATCGTGACGTCATGCTTTGTCTGCGTTTTGGCCACTATGGGGCAGTATATTATCTACACAGTGGATCTGCATAAATGCAATTTGGAACACATTGATACATTCACACATTCACACATTTTACCCTAATATTAAAAAAAACATTTTTTTAAACTTTTTTTTTTTTTTTTGGGGGGGGGGGGGCTTATTCATTTCCCCAGTCCATTTATAATGGGCCTCAATTTATATGTGGACTGACAGGGCTTGGTTCACATGGCCCCGACCCCGTCCACTGTAAATGAAAAACAACAAAAAAGTTCTTCGCAGGGGATAAAGAATATTGTTACCCAAATAGAATTTTTGGGTCACAATTTCATTAATCATGCCAGCTAAAAATTATGTTTATTTAGGTTCTCAGTTATTCAGGTCATGGCAATGTACATAAGTTGAGTTGGACTAACAGGACTTTTCACATTCTTTTTTTCTTCTCACTACCTGGACAGCTCATGCCATGTTTGCAAACCAATTTTCCCATGTGACATTGTCTTATCAGATCCAATTTTTCCACACATTGCCAGAAACATGAGAATGAAAGTTATGGGTTAAAAAAAAAAAAGAGTGCAAGAGGGTAGTGTCAATAGCGACTGCCTCAACGGGCCTGGCTTGTTGGAATGAAGCGCGTGTGTGTGTGTGTGTGTGTGTGTGTGTGTGTGTGTGTGTGTGTGTGTGTGTGTGTGTGTGTGTGTGTGTGTGTGTGTGGTTTTTTTTGGGGTCACTGGGGGACTATTTTTGGCTTACCTTGGGCGGCGACTGCACCTGATATGGGTGAAGAGAGCACGGGTTCCAAGATGAAACTTCTAACTAGGAGTTGCTAGGAAACCACGACATGCGTGTAGTGTGTGTGTGGTGCGTGTGCTGTTTCCTGTTTGAAGCACACGTTACGACAGGTGGCGCGCAGTCTGATTCATATCTGGCCAATATGGGGAACAAAAGGCATGAAATATGACTCCATTTAAATATACAAGGAGGGACATTTGATTAGGTACGGTGGCACTGTATGGTGGCATTGGACTGGTGGCCGGCCAATCGCAAGTGAAGCAAAGATCCAGAAAGTTAACTCAAGCTTCCAGGCAGCGAGAGGTAAGGCCGGTTGTTATTTTGTTTTTTTTTTGGAGGGGGGGCGAGGGTCCCATGGCAGGTACAGGTTTGAATTCCAGCTCTGGCCTCCCTGCATGGAGTTGGTATGTTATCCCCGTACCTGCGTGGCTTTTCTGTGGGTACTGCGGTTTCCTCCCATGTTCCAATGAGCGTGGCAAGTAAATGGAACATTATAAATTGTCCCAAAGGTGTGAGCGCGGATGGTTGTTCGTCAATGTGTGTATGTGTGACGTGCGATTGGCTGGCAACCAGTGAAGGGCGCATCCCGCCTCCTGCCCGAAGAAGCCTGGGATAGGCACGGGCACGCCCCTCAACCCTTATGAGGATAAGCTGATCAGAAAATGGATAGATGGATATTAGTGATTATAGATATTATCCACATTTTTACGTACTATTGTGCAATCCTTTATTGGATGAAGTTCTACAGCCCTTAATATTCATACAAAACGTCAATTTTTTTTAATGAAATCATACCAATGAAAAAAAAATCACTTGACAGTTATTGTCATTCATAATAGGTTTGAAAAGTTTTCGACTACATTTTTTGAATGAGATCCTACTAATTTATTAGGGCGGCTGTGATTTGCATTTGGTGTGTGTGTGTGTGTGTGTGTGTGTGTGTGTGTGTGTGTGTGTTGGGGGGGGGCGCTCACCTCTGCAACTTTGAACCACAACATTATTACACTGCTCTGTTATATTACCACCCAAAAGCTAATGTATTCATTTCATTTTCGCAAGTGTAAAAAGATGTGTTAGATAAGGTCATTATG